CATTTGACTGCTAACCAGAAGGCTGGGAGTTCAAACCCACCAGCCACTCCTCGGAAGGAAGGTTGGGCAATCTACTTCCATAGTGATACTGCCTTGGAAATCCTAGGAGGGGTTGCTATACGAGTCAGGTGTGACTTGATGGTACATAATAACAACAAAAACAGTTTTATTCTTATGGCCAAAAGTGGGCAGTGATTTTTTTAAATAGAACCAAATTTTAAGTGTTATTTAGGAGTTACTGGGTATGGAAAAGTCATTTATCGTGTATCTACTTTCAGAGTAACCAGTTAGGCTCTATGGGAATTTGACTTTTTATTTATAGTCCAAAGGAGCTCTAGTGGCATACTGCCTAAGGCATTTGACTGCTAACCAGAAGGTTGGTGTTCAAACTCACCAACCACTCCATGGAAGAAAGACTAGGCAGTCTACTTCCGTAAAGGTACACTGCCTAAAGAAACCCAAAGGGGGTCACTATGAGTCAGAATCAACTCGATGGCAGTGAGTTTGGTTTGTTTTATAAAATCCTCATGATTTTATAAAATATGCCTGAAGTCTCCTTACTAATTATTTTTTGTTTTTCTTAAAACCATCTATATGTATTTCTCCTCTCTTTAAGGCAAACATGAAAAATCATGTTTGTAATACTTCAGGATGAGTAACGTTCATTCTGTAGATGTGGGTAATATGCTTACACCATGGAGCAATCCATATAGAAAGATCTGATTCCAAATGGTTGTTTTCATATATATCTTAAGAAGAAGATATACCATTGATGGGAGTTTAAATTGCTTTCCCTTTTGGAAGGTAATATGGTTCTTCATAATAAAATGTGAAATGCCGCTGTCTTTCACTCTGCAGCCTCCCCTCTAGAAATCTAGAAAACAAAGATAAGTAGGTAACCCATTCTGCCTGGAATACAATGTAAAAATTAAGAGTTAATAGTTTAAACCCAAAATTCATCCTTTAATTCAATACATATTGATTGCATAGCAGGCACTACTGTAGGTTGGAACCAAAATACTGTAGGATGTGGCCCACTAAAATCTTTGGTCCCAAGAGATTAACTATCCTAAATAATTACCAATAAGAAATTTCCCATTTTTAGAAAATTTTAATATTTAATTGATATTTTATGCCAAGATCTGGTTAGATTTTGTGAAACAAATGTGTTAAAGGAGATCTTTCACGTCTTCCTTTTAGCAGATAAAACTATGTACAAAGATAAAAATAGACTCAATTTACTATAGACAGTATACAGCCATGTACACATGTGGCAACACAGTACCAGCAGGGGTAGGAGAAATAACTCTAGTATGAGTATCATGTTAATCATATATCTGTATTAGAGTAATACACATATACTTCTAATAAGGTCTTCAATTTCAGGCTCTCGGATTACTAATATTCTATCCCTTTCATAGCCAATTAAACTTATTTCCTTATGAGAGCT